CAGCTTATTTATGCTCAAATTCGCATTGTTTCACCACTCATCATTACACAGATAATATTTACTATACAAAAGAAATCTAAACCATGACCTGCCTGTTAATAAGTTGTCAATTTCACACACACACAATCCTGCACTTTGCTCTGTTGCTAGTTTTCGGAAGAACGCCCTATTTTCTTTCATCCATGTACGACCTCCATGCACGTCAGCTATTCGCGAGTACACGTATGTACGTACGTTCAATACGCACACGTACGTACCACAGCGTGCGAGACGTAAACATACCCATAGCCTTTATTCAAGGAGCTCAAACTAATAGCACAAAATTAACGCGGTGCTATCTCTTGTTTGATGTTAAACGTAACACTTTTTAGAAATTCTCAAAACCATGTTGAAATCAATATTTTAATGAAGATAATTTCAAGTCTGATACAAGTAAGACCATGACGTGTACGCATTGATAATTTATTCATACGGCTTTGAAATTTGTTAGGAGGATATCCGCAGGGGCATTCCGCAGCCGTCCGAAGACAAAAACACCCGGATGGGCTCTGCTGCCCTCAACGTCAGCACCTTGATACTGGTGTTGATCCCTAGCCTGACGTTGGGTGCGCTATAACAAATCAGCGGTGTTATCATGTCTGTACACTTTCATTCATTAGTACTCCGAGCGAAATCCAAGAGCGCTTACTGGTGACCTATAATTTCTTTGCTCTGCGCTCAATATGCTTAAATATGGAATGAAAAGATGTAGAGTTCTCTCTGTTAACTGGAGGAACATACTCCGCAGAACGGTCCTCTCACATTCATCATGCACATAGAAAAGAGTCCACGAGCAGCGGGTATTATGACCAACTGCATAATTCACTCTAATTTGAAAATGATAGAGGCTTTCCCTTCAACACGTTTTGAGGAAATACTTTTTATTTGAAACTGAGGTGGTTTCTCCATTCTAACGTTACGGTAGACCCAGGCGCGGATCCGGGGGGGGGGGGGCCGGGGTCACCCCCCCCCCCCACAACACTGTCATGTATTCAAAATAATGCGATCTCCCCCCCCCCCCCCTGCTCTGACACCCAACAAATTATAATGGTAATAATGTTCGCCTGTGCACAAAATACGGACAGAGCCAGATTGGTTAGGGGGGTATTTGAACACTATTCTGTAATAGAGTGTTAATAATCGTCAGTTTTGAACAGCGCCCCCATTGAAAATATGGCACGAGCCCCCCCCCCCCCCCCCTCCCCCTATTGACATTGTTGATATTGATTTTCGGAGGCCAAGTGTCCGGTAAAAAAAACCTGTCTTCATTTTCAGACTTTTTTGCTGATGATCCCCCCCCCCCCCCCCCCCCACACACACACACACTGAAAAAAGTGAAAGAACACAAAAGACCATGTAGCGCGTCAAAACTCAACGGAACTATAGCGTCATGAGTGAACTACGCTTGCGTAGGCAACCATAATGCCCAGACCGAATTGTTTGAAAGTCTCCCAGGAATTCTATAAGCTGACCATAAATCCTGATCAACTCGTGACGACAAGTGGATAAGATTGACAGCAACAAAAGCAAGCCGCCAATTAGTGCGCAATTACAGCACAATTTACGCTAATAGCCACTAATTGGCGGTCAGTAAAACACGCCCTCAGAAAGGGTTTGGCATTCCAAAGTCAGTTGCTACCCGTGTATGTGAGGCCCCATGCCGCTATACTATGGTGCGTGTACAAAACCAAACTCTACAGATTAGTGTTGAGGCGCATACCCAATTAGATCACACCCAGAACTACACTTGTTGAGACGACCAAAATGATCCAGTCATGAGGAACATACAGGAAAAGAGTCGAGAAAATAATAATATTGTACAATGCACCTTAACCAGTCCTGATGAGTTACTTCATTATAGGAAAAAAAACCTCTCAAACATCATAACTAAATCATTTACGCATTCGAATTGGTTTTATTAAATCAACAAAAAATGTCTCCCGATTTTCACTCAAGATTGGTAGCGGGGGCGATCAGCCTAATATTAAACTCGGACTTCCGAAGGCCGTACGAAGTTTTTGTTTAATATAAAAGATCTGGTCTACGTAGATTTGATCAATCGTGTCCTGTGATGATTTTGTTAAGAAGGAAAGGTAGCTTCACGGTAAACAAGGAAGATGGTTGGATTTGGAATGCCAGCGGGTGAGCATCATGCTGAGAGGAAGTACGGATTAAATCCATCAGAAGGACGCGCTCTTCTCATTCAATACTCGCGCAACGGGATACCTACATGGTTTTGTTTGGTAAGGCGATCAGGATTTTCCCCCTTTCTAAATCCCTTTTATTGTACTAGCGTAACGTGTCTGGTAAATGTCCGTTGCGATAAAGCTTCGGAAGCGAACAAAGTTCTCCATTCAAAGAGGATTGAATCTTGTGCGGCGACTTCAAAGACTGTGATTCTAAGCCAACTTTAACCCTGGGATTATAATGAAGCATCTTAAGCTTACATATTTTGGGCGTTTGTTGGGGCAACTTCAGCCATATTCAACCGCGTGAGTATTTCCAGATGCCTTAGAGCTATAGCGAACCGAAGAGACTAGTGGGGTTAGTGGATAGGGAGAAGTGTCTCCCAATAGTACCTTGGAATAGAATTACATAAATGAAACCGTAACTTACCATCTGAAAACCATTAAAACAAAAACTAGAAGAAAAAATAGCGATTGTTGTACATTCCCTAGAAAAAAAAACACGAAAGGAATGACGTCATTGGCGCCGTCACTTTAAGCAAAAGCTTAATCATTATCATTAAAGCATAAGCAAATCAATGAATCGGTATATTGGAAAATTTGAACTTATCGAAACACGGATGAAGATATTGCTTTGCTATAATGAGATAACTGATTGTATAAAATAGAAGCCTTCCTTGAACCATGGAGGAATAAGAACACATATTCCTCCATGTTTGAACCCAGCGGCACGACTCTCGCCGTCTGAAGGAGGTTCGTTACTTATTGCGTCATAACGACTGTTTTCTCAGTCAGGTAATCCGGAAGAACCCCACCAAGCGACAGCTGATTATACATTAATAGGGTCTACTCCAGCTTCGTGACTGATGAACCTTTAGAGAAAAGGGCATCAAACAATATGATGCCCATCAGCTCCCGGCCCCCACCCTCCGTTTTTCGAAGTTGCAGCTAGCAGCCGACTGTATGTCGCCCGGACTCACCACACCCTCCCCCCTTTTAAAGTTTTTTTTTTGGGGGGGGGAGGGGAATCTAGTTCTGGCGTGGTATACCCCACATAAAATGATGACCCCTAACCCACTGAAAATATCCTCGCTACGGCATACCGGCACTGCTGAAATCACGGCGTACATTTTCCGCAACTTTCGCGATTTCGGTGATGGCTTTTAAAAGCTATCCCGCTAAAAATGTTGCTTGTTTACCTTTCTTTATTTTGGAGACTGCCAGCGCCTTATAAGTATTATCTTTCTCTATGATTGTTCCGTGCAACCGTCGGCATGTAGAAATCAAGCTTAGCTAACTTAAGGATAAACCTGTCTACTTGGAAGCGGGGCCTTTTTGACTCGACCTTTTAACCTAGGGTATGTTAGGGGCAATCAACACCCAACCGCCATGTCAACATCAATGCCTATAGGGCTAAGCTATGACACGGTGTGATGTGTGGACAGTGTACGCCAGGGGTATACTAGGCAGTGGTGGCTAAATAAACATCATGGATATGCCTATACCCAAAAACGAAAGACAGTAGTAAGCAATGGTACCGAGTTACGTTATTCTCCATGAGAAATCCAAAGCGTAAGATTTATTTTCATAATCGTCTTCATAACTTTGAAAACTACATTTCGTTCGATAGAGATTGATTTTGCTTTTTTTCATAACGTCATATAAGCTTCGGGCCGTTTGGTTTTGGCCACTTACCATGATTATTATTGAAATTTTGATCAGGATCATCTTGATATTAACCCAGTTTACCTGCTTAATAACATGATCATGGTAGTTGGTACGAAGATGAAGACAACTATTTATACAGATAAAGATGATTAGCGTTACATGGTCATTATAACCATGTACATACGGTCAATACAAGTAAAAGACAATTAATAATGTGTATTTGCGTCCTTTACATTACGTATACGTAGATGACGTCAGCCCATCTGTGTCCAGACGTTTCGCAAATAGGTTAAGTGCGTTTGGCGTTATGTCGACTTAGCCCCATGTTTCACATTTTTGTTGGCGGTAGTTGTGTGTCAAAAGAGTTTATCATGCTACAAACATCAAGTGGTAACGAGAAATAACAGTCTCTAATGAGCTCAATCCATTATGGGTAGGTCTGCTCACTAATCCCACGCAAGCAGTTAAGTGATGTGGTGGGTAGTTTGAAGTGTTTACATGAAACGATACCTAAGAAATATCGCCCTTCACACATTATAATAACATATTAAAAGAGTTGTTATTCCACACCAATACGCCCAGCCAATATCCACGCATAACTAACCAGTCACAACCCCCAATCCACATACATAAACCCGTTAGTGTACCCAAAAGCGTGTGATCATACTCATATAACAACTTTCATTCTTTTTCTAAAGTGTCATCGATCAAAAACGTTAAAAAAATGATAAAAAGAGAAAATAAACCCCAAAAGGGAACTTTATGGGGTATATCTATTGTAAAATAGTACCAAGAAATTGACTTAAGCGGGATGTGAACCCATACTCTGCAATCTGCTGATTACAGTGTAGGTGCTCTGCAAAAAGACACGAGTCACCTCGAGCATCGTGCACGACAGAATTATTACGTGCTAAACGATTGCAATTCTAAGATCTTTCTGGTCAAACATGAGTACAAATTTCCCCACACGTCGCTTTACAGTACCAATTGAAGATGTATGTAAGATTCCTAATCCTGAGATGAGACAACCTAGCTCCATGATTTTAAGCGTCGTGAGTGACACAACCCCCTAAGTTTGGCGTAGTTTATCCCCTGCTTTACCGCCAGTAGCATGTTTCATTTCGGTAGTACAGCACTGCCATGTAGTCTGACGCGTGGGACGTTGAGCGGCACTGACCAATTAACAAGTATTATCGGCAAGCCTTTGTCGGCACCTTTGTACTTTTCGGGGGTAGTGGGTTATGATTGAGCTGTAATTAATCCTCAGGGAATTGGGGAGTGTTGGCGAGGGAGGAGTGCGTGGCAGCAGTCGAGACACATCAGGACTACAGTAAACAGAAACAACTCGGCAGTGATGTCTACGTGGCCTGTTGAAAGGACTGAAAACTTCATTACTCATGTGGAAAATAATTAGTGATCATTTCTCTGCCTCAATACGAAAACGATAAAAGCGTGTTCACTGGACAACTGGCACATTTCAATTCATCAGCACCATCGCTGCACGTCCAACTTGTGGATATCTGACAGATACAATATTCTCACAAGTGTCATGGTTTACTTGCAAGAGTTTGCTGTGTGATACCGCATCTTGGACTTGTTAAGTTTTCAATTCAGTTTTCCACATTTAATTTCTGAAAAGTTGAACCACTAAATTTGACACAATGAAGACAGCAGTATTATCTGTTGCATGTTGCACGATGAAAGTTGCTGTTGTTGTGATGCTGTTTGCCATTGTATTTACCAACGGCGTGTATGTTCAAGACCGAAGACGTGAGCTGTTACGGGACGGTAGTAGTGAGTCCAGTGAACGGCGTGGTACTCAAGATGAGAGCATGCAACCGGAGCTTGACCAGAACTCGGCAGAATCAGAAATAACATCGCCTAAAAGGAAACCGTTCCAGAGAACTTTGGTAAGTACGGTACGACCTTATTGACGGGATATGGACTCTTTGTCAACTGCCGACATTTCTTAGTAGTTATGGAGATCGATTTGGGTTTAGACAACATAAATTGGCCTGGTATGTTATATGCATGTCACCGTGCTCTTAGTGTCTTAAAGGGCTAAAGGGTATTAATTTTATTCTCGTTTGAATGAACAATGAAATAACTAATGCAATACTATCATGTATGTGTAATTACAAAATATCGATGCCCAATGTAATCAATGACAATGATCAGGTCAATTTGTCCGAAACTTGAACGGACGTTAAATAGTTTGCCTCACCAAATCTAAACGCCCAACGCGTACACCCGTCGGAGTCCACGAAATCAAGAATGAAAGGTTTGCGGAAGCACCGTGTTCATGAATATTTTCTCACACTAAGAAAATGGCTCCAGTCAGTATGCTCTGACCGTCTTCAGGAGAATTTCCCTTCAGGAGACAGTCAGAGCACACTGACAGGAACGTCATTTTCTTACATGCAGTTTGAGAAAATTATTCCCACATGGGTGTTTTCGCAAACCATATTTCATAAGCATCTCAAATCTTATAATGAAATCATATAAGATCACCAAGTATTTCCATTTTATATAATCAATAAGTTATAGCTGGAATTTTAGAACTTATGGTAATATCATTAGGTATCTTTAAGAAGTAGTATTTGAACTGGTAATATTTCAAGACAATTCAAAAACTTTTTTATATCAGATACAACAGCCATATTCAGATGGTCACATCCACCTGTTGTCTGTGTGCAATAGTCGGCAGATTTTGTATATTTAATCGTGAAAATGAATCTTACCACGGAAAACGCAGACTAAGGTTTACTTTCCACATGTTATGGTTTCCGCCATTGTCCGTGTAGCGCATCTCAATGTTGAATACTCATTAAAGGTAAAGTCTTCAAATACACTCAGAATAGAGGGAAACAAACGCAAAGTTAGTTTCAAAATGAGAAAGGTACAACGTGAACCTTGTAAAATAATATTTTTTGGTGAAAACTTCATTTGATTATGGGGATGCCGTATTTTTTTGCTAAAGAGTGCACTACTTCCAGACTGTCATGGCATTTTTATTTTATCAAGGCACGCCTTTAGAAAAAAATAATGGCTTACAACCTGATGACAATAGGCCGCTTATGGTATAGTGCGCCTTTGAAGGCATGAACTTTAATACTGTAATAGGCCCTACTTATGTGATCCCATTGTGCAAAGTCACCTCGTAATAATACAAAACCTGATCGTGATTTGAGAAATATTGAGTTGCGTATCCCAGCAAACCAATCCTTGCTGTGAGGTGGAGACCCCTGACCATGGAGCTCCATGCGCTGAATGTTGCTCTGTAATAGTGAGCAGGTGTATTTAGCAACCCCATCGTGTGTACCACGGGGACTCAAACAACCCCCAGGGTCAAGATGCAGGCTGCAAAAACCCCTATATTTATTCAACCGCCATCTTTTTTTGTAATGGACATTATTTTGATTTGTAAAATACCATTCAACGAGGGAGGAATCTCCAAGCGTGTTTCACTGTGCGCTTTTTGTCTTTAATTAGAGTCTTGATCTCTTCATGAACATTAACCGTCATGTATTTGATGGTATGTTCGGACTTAGTAGCGGGACCCACCCAGGCCAAACCTGCTGGCTATTTGCAAGTGAGCTGTTTACGCCTGTTACTCCAATACTGCAGGTTGTGTCCAGCCTTTTTTCGTACGTTCTGATGTTTATTTTGGTAGTTTGTTTTTAGGCCTAAACTACCCTCTTGTATTGTGATGTGGAATCCGTGGGATCATGCCGAAGTTTAGCGTTTGGATCGTTGACATATCTACGGTTTTGAAGCTCAATCCACCCCTCGGCGACTTTTTGCAGTGTTAGCTGTTTTGCTATGATTAACCGTTGTACAAACAGTTCAAAGACACGGTACAGTCTTCCTTTTTGTTTGGACACTTCTCATTTGTGTCTTCCATCAAAAAAGTGATGAAAAATCCCTCCTCATTCTTTCCTCGGGAGCTCTGTGTTATTTTACAAAATAATGCCAGAATCCACCCAGGTCCCTTGCACATTTTAGTGCATGTCCTTTGTTTTCGAACTGGTCAAGTCCAGTTGAATAAATCGCGTTTCTTTCTGGGTCTGACAAAAGTTTTAGCGGGTGGGAAGGGGGGGGGGGGGGTGGGCTAACACCCAACTCTAATCAAAAGAGGGAATTTAATCATAGTACACAAAATGCACATTCTTAGCAGTGTGTTGAAACTATTACGACTACAGAGTTGCTAGTCGGTGTCGTTACAAATAATCTCCCACGAAAATGTTTTCGTTTGTAATTTTCCTCTATGCAAATTAACAGTAGTTTCGTGAATTTATTTGAGATGAGTTAAGATTAAGCAACATTAACACCAATTAATAAATAAAAAAATTAATTTCAATTTCTACAGTCATATACATTTCTCGTGAGAATGTTGGTGCGAGTATTTGTATTGCTGGGGTTAATTTCGAGTATGTTGATTATGTTATAAGAGTCCAAGGCTATCGCTTTAGAGTTGCTATAATGAAACTGAAAAAAGGAATCTTGCTGTGAGATTGTTATTTTCCAGCGATACAGAAGTGATTTACCTTTGAATGAACCATCGAAGAAAATACTTTTTTTTATAATACTTCAGGTGTTTTTTTCTTAACAAGCAGATCGAAATAAAAACGTATTTTCAGAGGGTTGAAAAGTCCAACATTTTCGTGTACATGTATAGGCCTATATAACGGTAACTTTTTGGCGTTTAAATAATATGTATGAAATAAAACTGAAAACTCGGTATATTAGGTTAACAAATTCAACATGTTAAAAGAGCGTACGTATAGAACAACTTTAAGTTCACCATATGAACGGAAATCCGTGGAGAATTCACAGAAAATCTGTTGAACAGGCGTTAGGAATGGCAAGGGCATTTTCCCAGCTGGTGTCTTGCTTCTGGTGTTATACAGGAAACTTGAAGGCAGGAGTGTGCTGTATAAAGCATGGTGCCAAGGACAGTTGTCCAGGTGTGCTCCGACTGTGATTATCGAAGGGGGATGTGGACACATTGCGTAGCATTAAGTAAAATGGGATACAGTTGAGTTTTAACCGATTTACTTGGGTGCTTTTCGCTTAAATGAACAAAATGTCTAAACAGTGAGATTTGATGCGAAGGTCCACCCTCTCCCCCTTTCTACCAAGCAGCTGTGGCATCGATATAAATATGTGGTCTTGGAGCACCGCATTGATAGCATAGAAGCGTCGTTCCTTGTTAAGTATTATAGTTTTTGTAACTAAAACAATAATATTTTTATATGTCTTTTTTTTAATTAGTGAAGTTTAACTAATGATATCGTTACACTCGACGGTGAGACTTTATAGAGGCTAAGAGCGATATGGTCAAGCCTGTGCTGTTCTATCTGTGAACTTGAAGATTTTGACAGCGGAACTGCCCTCTCACGTAGGTCAACATTCTCTCCTCTGTATAAACCCCACAAGGGCAGCTGACAGCGTGTGTAACCCTAGGAATGCGGCAGCAAAGAGGGTTGGGCGCTGGTTAGTTTGTCGGCAGGTTTGTGTCAGGTAATTGCTGCCAATTGCCGGCTGATCACCCGTTGATGATTCCCAACAGGGTGGGTCACAGTTGGCACTCGTTTAGCTGTTATTAATCTCAAATTGCTGTAATTGCCTTGCACTGCAGGGCCACTCTGACCACACTCTGACTTGCTCTATGGACTAACTTGTCCAGTGCATGGACTTGTTCAGTAACACGCAAAGTTCTGTGGAAATGCAAAGTTGCTTGCATTCGTTTGCGGTATTGTTGTGTATCAGCATCCTATCTACTGGCATTAGCTTCTGTCATACAGCGACGTACATGCATGATCACCTACTCGACTGCTTTGAACCTGTCTTGAACCTATAGAGTTCAAGATTAAGACCAATTCATGTCGAAACTGGAATTCTGGATTTATTCCAGAGTTATTACCTGTCAGCTGCAAGTTTTCCAGTTATTGTTATTTTTGCTTATTACATTAGTTGTTTATATTTAGAACGTCCGCCAGGTTTTTTAGGGTCCAAATGGTTTTACATTCATCGTCTTAAATTTCCAGATTTCATGGCCTTGGGAGACGTCAGCCTGTCCGGGCCACAGCAAGAAATCAGATGAATAAACTAAACGTTTGGCTGTTGGCCTTTTGGTGCCACAGTCTCCCCCAGGTGTGGTTGCTTTAGAAGAAGCCGCACATCAAAGCTAAGATAGCATTCCACCGACAAGCAGTGTTGCTTTAACTATGCTTTATGCAGCTGCCGCTAGTAGACTGGGCGCCATCCCTTCCCGCCTATCAATTGCTACCCGATTAAGTTACATTACTGCTGTTTTGTGTCCACGTTGTTTTCCCACGTGTATATACGGTGTTATACCGGCCAGATTTATGAAATTTTGGTGGAGTTTCTTTAATACAATAATTTATTTTGTTATGAATACTGAGTCACATTTAAAATAATGCCTACTGTAGTTTGAACCAAATTTACTTCTTTATTGTAGGAATTTTGATTGTGATGTAGTTTTTTTTAAATTATTTGTCGCCATTAATGTAGCTGATAGTGATACTTATATTAAGCCCATACAAAATCTATGTGAATTTCATTTGACATGGTTTGATCAAATATTACGATGGCTGGTGTCAACTGTCATGACTTGATTTCTCTCTTTCGCTGCATCAACTCATCACGAAACAGACAAACGATGATTCGATAGAGGGCGCTACACCGTTAATGGACGTGTTCAATTATCACATTCCAACTGAAATTCAAGATGTCTCTTAAGCGCAAAACCCTTGACTTACCGTCACTCCAACTTGATCCTTGTTTGCCATGTCTCCTGTTTATAATGTGTGAAAGTATGCTCGAGGCAAAACCATTGTGACTATAAACAGTCGGCCTTTCAGACAACGGTACTTTAAAAAGCTGACCGCGTGTTTTCATAGCTATCCAGCCGATTGGCCAAAAATTCTTTGAAATTGAGGAAACGAGTCAGCCCTTTGGCTGATGAAAGTTTTCTGTGGTTGTAATCTAAGTGAGTTGTGAAATACCGCGGCACGACTGCAGGTCATTCATGATGCGACCTACAACTTGTCATAATTTGATTTATACGAAATTTGCAGTTTCAAGGTTTCCAACACTGAGATCTTTAGCAGAGAATTTTGTTTGCCACGATTGTAACTTTGAAAATTCTCTGTAACTTGATGTACCTTTTATCACTTACATTTATTTACAGGTTTTATGTAACCGTGATGACGAATGTGAAGACAAGTCATTTTGTCACGGAGGAGAGGGCCACAAATCTTGTCTTCCCTGCAGGCGCTCAAGAAGACGCTGCCAGCGGAATGGAATGTGTTGTTATGGCAACGTATGCCGACAAGGTCGATGTGTTCCCAAGGAGATGCGATATGATTCATCGTATGCCAAGGCAATTCCCTCCGAGTCAGAAGAAGAAAGTATTTCTCAACACACCAGGGACAACATGCGAAAACGTACGTTAAATTAGTTCCAATCCATGTTTCAACTGTGCGGTCTTATTTTATTTTTTTTGTCTTTTATTTGTACGACCGTGACGTTGTTTAACCCTTTGGCTCTCCATGCATTACCAGCCCCATTTAGAAAAAAAATCATTGTGTAGCGCCCTCGTACTTCATGGAGGACAGCCCATTGCTTGCCCAGCCAATGTAAACAATATGTGAACTTCCACACCGCCTGCATGTTTATTACCCTTTTTGTGTTTACCAAGATTATGTAACCGGACACGCGCCACTACAATCTATGTATTTAGGAACTAGTTCAAGCCCCCCCCCCCCCCCCCCCCCCCCCCAGTTCAATGTTGTTGGAAATCGGGCTTTCAGACAAACTGGCTAATTCCCCAGCAATATTGCATATGGGGAGGAAGAATGTTTATATTCACATAATTGAGTAGTCTGTTTGATCATGGAGCAATATGGTTTGGTAATATTTCAACCATTAGTTGTAACACTACACATAATTTATGTCAACGCATAATAATGCCAGAGGGACATTCGTCGAGAGGGGGCGCTATTCACATTTTTGCAAAATGCAGAACGGCTTGGTGCCAAAAGGAGCCACCGGTAAGGGAGTGGCGTCGACTTTTGGTGCCAAAAGGAGCCCTTGGTAGTGAAAGGGTTAATTGGCGCTTGAAGGGAGTTATGAAATACACACTTAACACTTTATTAGTGGCAGCCTGTTAGAATGTCATTTTATGATGCCTCATGCATAGTCGACTCCATACCGCACCACAATGTCCTAATCATTGATGTCAGTTTGCTTACCTTTTAAAATACAGTTCGTGAAGACGAGGTTTGTGAGGCAACAGAGCAGTGTGCGCAGGGTTTGTGCTGTGCACAGCACTTCTGGACACGCATCTGCAAGCCAATCTTAGTGGAAGGAGATGTATGCACCAAGAAACGAGATCGGCTAACTGCGGTCTTCCAACGATGTCAATGCGGCGAGTCGTTGTCCTGTAAGAGGCATCCTTCTAAGGAGATTCGTTATCATACGTGCCAGCTCATCAAGACAAGAAAGCGTCCTGCAAAAGAAGATGATGAAGATGGTGATAACGAAAACGAGGAGCCTGCCTTGAGGATTGAAGTACAACTCGCAAATGATGGAGTTCAGCATGATTGGAATGAAGAGACAGATAATAGTAAAAGTCACGGACCTGACCCAGAGAAAGTAGATTACAGAAGTGAAGATCAATCGGTGTCTGAAAATCATTGGGGTGGTGATGAAGATCAGACTGAAGAAGAACAAACGGAGGAGAGCGTGAGTGAGCTCATTGTCGCTGCACGGAATCAGACTGGAAGTATTCAACCAGTTACTAACATTATTGAGGTTTTATGACCTACAAGTTTCATTGTTGTGAACAAGTGTACATAAGCAGTGTGGGGATACGGAATCCCGGTACATACTGTTATTTCGTTTTACCGTTTTGGATTTTATTAAAAACAAAAACAGTAAACGAACCATTGACCGTTTTGTCGTTTTACAGTTTTGTAAAACGGTCAAACGGTATTAAAGTCAATACGGTTTCTCCGTTTTATCAGTTTAGTACACGAAGAAGTGTTACTTCGGCATAATTAATGCGTGGTGTGATTCCTGGCGTGACCCTGACCCCTTCTCATGCGATTCCGTTGGTGGGGCTTAAAGAGTTGCAAGTAAAAATGGCGCTGGAAAATTTCAAGGGGACATTAATTTTCACAATGGATATAGAATGGTAAGACGTATGAAGAAGTTGCAGATATTTTGAAGGAAATTGGAGTTCGGCGCGGCTCTTCAATAGCCAATTCGCAAATTCTGTCGTGAGAACGAAATGTAACGAGGGCAATTTGGGTCCCAGTCAATGACTCGATCTCAAGGACACATTAACATCATGGGTGTCGCGAGGGGGGGGGGGGGGGGGGGGGCGCGCTTCCTCCCCCCGGACAAGGTCCCCCCCCCCCCAAAAAAGGCGCGAAATCATATTGTTGCCCATGATTAACATTCCAAGGTACATTGCTTAATTGACGAACCTGAATCCAAAAATGGTCGACAAGACTATTGACCGTTTTGTCATTGTCATGTTTTTGTAAAACAACACTCTAAAAATAAAGCAACTAACGGTTCATCAAAAAGTAATTGTTTTTTGTGACTTAATACCGTTTGACTGTTTTACAAACTGTAAAACGACAAAACGGTCAATGGTTCGTTTACTGTTTTTGTTTTTGATGAAATCCAAAACGGTAAAACGAAGTAACGGTATGTACCGGGATTATACGGGTACTGTGAATATTATTAATTGATTCTTGTGAGGAGTAGTCACTATGCCGTCGATATCAGCTGACGGATTTTATAAAAACAGTGCACAGCGAACTACATATATTAGCAACGTGCTCGTCGTTATTGTGTAACAGACGTCAGCAGGAAAGTCCGACATTCGCTGAAAGTGAACGACCTGTATAAAAATGGATTATAAAATTCAGTTCACATGAGTTTGTGTCCACAGACGTTTTTACCTAACCACGGCATGCTAAGTCAGTGACGACTCGTTCTTACGGATTGGGAACCAATGATTACCGTGATTTTAAAGATAGTTCGTCTGTCACTCTAGTACAATAATTCAAGCATTACGTGTACCGTGTACAGTAATTGGAAATTCACGTACATCCACATCACATAATATGTTTATAGGTTGATTTGTCTTTTGTTTTGATATATTACTCACGTTCCTTTTAGCTATTGTTATTGAAATAATACGGTGGCATGTAGTACATGTATATGGACATTTCAACCGGACAATATTGTTTCCGAGGTGCGACATCTAATAAGAGGACGTTTTATACTTCAACAAAGTTTAAAAATACATTTTACATGTATATTGAAATATAATACTTTAACAATATTAAAGTTAATACCCTGTTATCTTTCCCCATGTCATCCGGTTAAAATATTTTGTAAGACGTTATGTGTTATGAGTTAGTAACATAATTCATTGTTATGTATTGCCATTAGTTCGAGGCCCTTTATAAGCAACAAATCAGCATTTTGTCGGTTTATTTCCCTATGGCATCAGTTTCTAACTTGAGCGTTCGGTATAATACATTATTTTCGTAAATTACTCATCTGTGCGTTGTTCATAACCTTTTCTTGTAACGTATGCGATATTTTAAAACAGTTTAGTCTGTTTATGAGCATGTATTCGATGTAATTATTTATATTTTTTCTGTACATAAAGATAAATCACTAATATAAATCACTAGTCTTGGTTCCAAGACGTCCTTAGCGCGCGGTGCATGCGATGTTTCAGCTGCAGTGCGCACAATCCACGAGTGGACTTAGCAGTGGTTCGCCGAAGCGGGCGCCCTTTCATACACACAACCGAGTCGGGTTCGTGGACCCTGTGGGATTGGATCGGGAACATTCATACTGCGCCCGTTACAGAGGCTGCTGTAGTCGGTGTCAAATGAAAATCCGACTCCTCTTCCCTATTATTGGTTAATTCTAAAAAATACCATATTATCGTACATGTACTTACGCATGCGCAATACTACCAACGAGTCCATGGAGTTGGATATGCACGCTACATACACCGTCTATCGTGAAATACACCGCTGAGAACGTCAGGCACAATGACGTAGCATTTAATTGGAACAGAAAGATCCCGTGGGGTCTCGTACGCCCTTTAGTGTATATGTAGAACAATTTTGTACCATTTTACGTTTTGTCAATGAGCGTCCCTATGAAAGTACATGCACATAAAGAAACACTTGATATTTATACATAATCGAGAAAGGAGCATACCATTAATCTCCTATGAAGAGCAATAAAATCAGTACAAATTATTATTAAAATAGATTTCTGATGGGTTTGCTTTTTGTAATGTGTGGAATGCCCCATTAATGCAAGTACCGTAACAGGGAGGGGTTAGGGTGCATGCAGAATGTCGTGCCGGCCGCGCTAGCGCCACCTTAGGCCCCCTCCCCCCAAAAAAACACAACCGATCTCTGGTCAAAGTCTGGTCAGACCGATCCGGTGTCATATGAAAATTCGACTCCTCAGTATGAAAATCGGACTCCTTCCCCCATTTCATTGTATTGGTTAATCGCTCTCACGTGACAAGTCCCCCTCCTATAAATAGGCTGATTTAAAGGCTTTCATATTTATATGCATGGCGACGCGTTTTTTGTTTTGTTAGTTGCTTTTTTTTCAAGCTTGGATTGTATACAGACAAGGTGGGTTCTACATGTATTTTGCTTTTTGTGTCCTCTATATATTGGTGTCCTTCATCGTTTGCCTTGGTGCCCTCCATCATATGCCCCTTTTTCAGCTTTGTGCAATTTTCCTTTTTGATCCTTCTCGGTATGGGTCCAGAATTTTGAGGTAGTGCGGCAATAGAGGGCGCTATTGTAGCAACAGCGGAAATTAATTTGTAGTCTGGTTCCCAGACCTGACAATTATTCCCGACGCTCACGTCTAAAATTGCAAAATCTTTTGGTCTGGGAACCAGACTAATTAATTTGCAGAAAAAAAGTTGATGCGCATGATCAGAACCGACGCTCGCGCTGACCAGAGACCGACTTATTCCATGATTGCGTTTCCCCATTGCACGAAGGGCATATGAAGCAAACTGATACAAACAAAATTACCATAACGGCGTTTCCCCGTGATACGTAGTGCATATGAAGCAAACCGATTTAAAAAACTGCAATAACGGCATTTCCCAATTGCACGTAGTACATATGAAGCAAACTGATGCAAAAAACCTACCATAACGGCGTTTTCCCATTACACGTAGGGCATATGGAAAAAACTGATTAGAATAACCTGCCATAACAGCGTTTCCCCTATTGCACGTAGTGCATAGGAAGCAAACGGATTAGAAACACATGCTATACTAGCGTTTCCCCATTGCACGTAGGACATATGAAGCAAACTGATTAGAAAAACCTGCCATTATAACGTTTCCCCTATTGCACGCAGGGCATAGAAAGCAAACCGATTAGAAAAACCTGCCATAACAGTGTTTCCCCTATTGCACATAGAGCACATAAGCAAACCGATTAGAAAAACCTGCTATAACAGTTTTTCACCATTGCACATAGAGCACATAAGCAAACCGATTAGAAAAACCTGCCATAACGGCGTTTCCCTTATTGCACGTAGGGCATATGAAGCAAACTGATTAGAAAAACCTGTCATAATGGCGTTTCCCCATTACACGTAGTGCATATGAAGCAAACTGAAACAAAAAACCTGTCATAAAAGCGTTTCCCCATTGCACGTAGTGCATATGAAGCAAACTGAAACAAAAAACCTGCCATAATGGCGTTTCCCCATTGCACGTAGTGCATATGAAGCAAACTGAAACAAAAAACCTGTCATAACGGCGTTTCCCCATTGCACGTAGTGCATATGAAGCAAACTGAAACAAAAAACCTGCCATAACGGCGTTTCCCCATTGCACGTAGTGCATATGAAGCAAACTGAAACAAAAAACCTGCCATAACGGCGTTTCCCTTATTGCACGTAGGGCATATGAAGCAAACTGATTAGAAAAAACCGCCATAATGGTGTTTCCCCATTGCACGTAGTGCAATTGAAGCAAACTGAAACAAAAACCTGCCATAATAGCGTTTCCCTTATTGCACGTAGGGCATATGAAGCAAACTGATTAAAAAAACCTGTCATAATGGCGTTTCCCCATTACACGTAGTGCATATGAAGCAAACTGATTAGAAAAACCTGCCATAATGGTGTTTCCCCATTGCACGTAGGGCATATGAAGTAAACTGAAACAAAAACCTGCCATAATGGCGTTTCCCCATTGCACGTAGTGCATATGAAGCAAACTGAAACAAAAAACCTGCCATAATAGCGTTTCCCTTATTGCACGTAGGGCATATGAAGCAAACTGAAACAAAAAACCTGCCATAACGGCGTTTCCCCATTGCACGTAGTGCATATGAAGCAAACTGAAACAAAAAACCTGCCATAACGGCGTTTCCCTTATTGCACGTAGGGCATATGAAGCAAACTGATTAGAAAAACCTGCCATAATGGTGTTTCCCCATTGCACGTAGTGCAATTGAAGCAAACTGAAACAAAAACCTGCCATAATAGCGTTTCCCTTATTGCACGTAGGGCATATGAAGCAAACTGATTAAAAAAACCTGTCATAATGGCGTTTCCCCATTACACGTAGTGCATATGAAGCAAACTGATTAGAAAAACCTGCCATAATGGTGTTTCCCCATTGCACGTAGGGCATATGAAGTAAACTGAAACAAAAACCTGCCATAATGGCGTTTCCCCATTACACGTAGTGCATATGAAGCAAACAAATGCAAACAAATAGCATAACGGCGTTTCTCCATTGCACGTAGTGCATATGAAGCAAACTGATTAAAAAAAACCTGCCATAACGGCGTAAACTTATCCTCCACAGTTAGGACCAAAAAAAGGAAATAGTCGGTCTCTGGTCAGCGCGTGGCGTCGATTTTAATCATGCGTGTCAAACTTTTTCCCCTTCAAATTTATTTACCACGGAAGCTACAACAGCGCCCTCTATTGCCGCACCTCCTCAAATTTGTGTACCAAGGAGCACCAAGGAATGGGGAAAATGCGTGAAGGCAAATAATGGAGAGCACCAAGGCAAATTATGGAGGACACCAATGTGTATGAGGACACAAAGAGCATAATAGTACCCACCATGTTTGTACAATTCAAGCTTGAAAAAAAAGCAAAACAAAAACAAAAAACCGCGTCGCCGCATCAACTCCGCAACAAAAACTATTTCAAGACAAAAAAAGAGTTGTTTTTTTTTTCTTTCAATTAAAAGTGACGAGTGAGTGGTTGATGATCATTTTCTTAAAAGTTAGATTTCAAGTAATTAACCATAAATCCTGTTTAAATATTGTGGTAGTAACGTTTTGATAGTATCGCTTTAACGTACCTGACAAAACGTCGAAATGGAGGCATTTAAATCACGTTATTAAAATGTTTTTTATTATATCATGATATTTCCTCCATACATCATGTTTAAAACTTTTGGTACAAACATCGCCTTAGCATACCTGATAAAACGAAATTATAAGCACAAATACATGTAAAACGCGAAATTCGTATAATGGCAATGGCGAAACAAGAGATAAACTTCTGGGGGCACGACCGTGGGGATGCACTTTTTTTCAGGGGAGCACTGAAGGCACCGTGATACATATGTTTGTATCATGCCCGCCCGCCGTAATATAATATTAAGGCGACACTAATAGAACAACACGGATTTTGTAGCTCTGTCTCGCATGCCTTCTCGTAACCATAACTCCCTCACTACTCCCAACAGTGTACCGTATGTAATACGTTCTGTATGAAATCCATTACTGTTGCTGTACTCTGATCGACATTTTATCTAAGTTAATTTTATTTCACCACACATGATTTACCACGGTAAGATATGTTTACGACGTCATAAAACTGCACAATTCAAACCACATTAACACATTAATCGTTATTTTATGGTATGTCCTGTGTGGACAAGGTGTCAAGACGTGTGAACTTTATTACGACTGACCGCGCCGCAAATTGCCTTGCGGATTTCAACAAGTCATAGGGTTTCCCCAACATGTATAATCCTCCGGTATAAACTGATTATGTAAACGATTAAGGTTTGTGTAAATTTTCAGGTATTACCAGGACGCTATTTGCTTTTCGAGGTTGCTTTGAAGTGTGTCTAGTCGACGTGTTTGAGATTTTCATGTAATTTACATGTTTCTTACGACAACGGTCTAGGCCCAAAATGTTAATGCTATGGAAACATTGAGGGTCTTGTTAATATTTGCGGAACAAAACCACAACGGAGAGGCAAAATGGTGCAAAAACACCCGATTTAACGGTAATCGATGTTTAGCATTTTATTCCTCCATACCCTGCTCTATGGTTTAGCAAAGTATTACTTGGCTTGCTTTATGGGGATGTTTTATTGTGGATGGTTTGCTGTCAAAAGGTGAACGCTATCTTTTCTTTATTGTGTATCATATATAAATAAAGTTACGCAACAGAACAGGTGTGACACATTTTGTATCATTGACCGTGTGTCAGGTCAGTGTGTCAACGGCTTGTAGGGAACCCGGGCATTTCCTTTCTCTAAGATTAGAGTAGGAAAAAACACAGTCGCCAAATCACTCCCCACTCTGTGATCGTAAGCTAAGAGCCAATCACAACTCGCCAAGTGACTGCAAGTGGTACACTCTGTGAGTTCTTATTGGTCAAAGGTTTGGTCAGACAGATGTGGGTTACACTATAAGAGTGCTGAGCGAGCCTTGTCTTAGACATCTCCTTTCTGACTCGCTATCAACCCAGTTGACTTTGTTGACGTCCAGCCTCTTTCACCGCGCCGAAGGTAAGTTGTGATTGATAATGTGTTTGTACAATCCTAAATTCTACGGATGCTGCATGCTCCTTCGTCTATTTTTAAAAATATATGATTATGTTAACCTAATCTTTACAAAATAGTTACATAAATTCAATTAAGCACAAGAAATTATTTATCGTCAGTCATGGAAACTATTACGATCTCTGCATGTCTTAATGAATGCCATATAACATTTGATTGGACCTTGGCTAAGATATAACCAGATTGAACAAAGTATTACTTCCCAAAAAACTTGTTTATTCATTACATGCAATATGTCAGGCAAATTTAAATTCCTGATGTAACCAGGTCGGGTTCTCGTACGTATTTTTACCCGACAGGTTCCCTATTCCGTCCTAAATTTTGTGAACTTCTTGCATGTCATAATCATGTCAAGAACAACAGTGTGAGTCAATAAAACTATACACTTTTAAAATTGGCCATAGTTTTATTCTGTAGCAATAAAGATACAATATTTTCATATGTACTTTTAGAGTTAACTTCCTGATTTTTTTGGTGACATTTTCACTGGATTAGTTTTCATGCATGACTGCACACCAGACATTTAAAGGGGTCGGGTGAAATCTGACTTTCGCCAACTGGTCAGGGCTTGATAAGTAAGAAACAATTTAAAAGAACACAACCATTGTCTAACAAAGAGACAAAACAGGAGCTTTTAAACTTCGTGTTTATTTAAAACATTTAAATTAAATTAAGAGGGCAATTAAATTCCACGTCGTCTTAGTCCTCAACATGGCCACCATCTCGTTCAATGCACATAGCTGGGCTCGGCGCATCATTCCTGCAACAGCACGGCGAATCACCTCCCTGTCTTGTCTGAGAATGTCAATTTCACGAGTTATCTTTTCCTGGTGGTCTTCCAGATTTGCCTACTGAAACTCTTGCAAGCAAGATCCACAAATCTGAACTGATTATGCATTCCATGACCAGAACCAAGATAGTGGTTGTGTCTCATTCTTATCCAGCCCTGACAAGTTGGCGCAAGTCAAATTTCTCCCGACCCCTTTAATTGTCTCCTGTGCAGTCATGCATAAAAACTAATCCAGTGAAAATGTCACCAAAAGAAGCAGGAAGAGTTACTCTAAAAGTACATATGAAAATATCTTCTCTATATTACTACAGAAATAAAAACTATGGACAATTTTAAAAGTGTATAGTTTTTTTTTGACTCACACTGTATTGTTGACCATTGGTTAACCATAGTTCGACTAAAGTTAGCTAGCCCGAACTCTGTCTAGTCGACGGTTGACTACACTAGTCGACTATTTATAACCAACCTACTGGGGCTGGTTGCATCGCTGGTAACCAATAGCCGCGCGCATTCATAACGTACAGCAGGGAGCCAGAATACAGAAGTTTTGCGATGACATTTTGACAAGCGTTTGACTAGAGACGTTTGCACGTTGTTATTAGTGCGCAGGCGTAAGGTACGTCACAAATCAACCACTAGTCGACTAATGGTCCTTGCCCGAACTTGGCCCGTGTACGTTGTGATAATAGAGCTATTTTTGCCAAGCCCCTAGCTCTTGCAGCCAAATCACCTTTTTTTAAAGAATAATTGCTGCCCTTAAACTATGCTAAAAGGTCTAGCGAGTTTTACATTCCGACACCGCGCTTTGTTTATGGTGGATAGCCAGCATTCCAGGCATATCGATATAGTTTTGCTGTAGGGCCAAGCTGCGAATTAACATTGATAACTCTGCCTTGAGTTATCATCACCCTGGTTCTGCTCTTGCTTTGCGGCGAGACCAGCATTTCCAGCGAGCGCATCACACTCCCCTTTTTTTAAATTTTGGGTGCGGCTCCCCGTTAGCAACGATACGATTGTTTTCCCGGCATTGCCGGCATTGCAACTTTTCTGCATTATTTTCTGCATTTCTGTTGCTTTCATCGATTTTAACACCGAGCACCGAAAGAAGGCATGAACGTAGTTCAGCCCAATTAATCTTTGGATAGACAGCGCATCACAATTGCCTTTGACTGTCGTTCATTTAGATTGTCGTTCATTTAACCGTCGTTCTTATATCCTATCATTCTTTTGTAAATATATATATATACGTGAAATAATTTGTACATAATCATTGCCTCATATTTTTGAATCTATGCAATAATTGTGCTGTAAATACAATATTTTGAGACACTGAGACAACCAGACAATTTTGCTCCACCCAAATTTTATTTATTTAGTGGAACCTCGGTAGTGTGGAGTGTGACCAATTTAACTAATTTTATTTCGCTCTCCCCGGTTACACTGATATTTTTAAAATACGTTTTGAAAAATTTGTGTTATCTCTTAGACAAAAATTGTACTTTGTGCCTAGACAAATTAAATTATTTCGTTTTAAAAGTAATTATTATAGTAATGTATTTCGATAACCAAACAAAAATGTTTTGGAGGTATACCATTGAGGTATTTTTTTTTTCGTGCGATATACACGTCTGTTGCCCATTTCCAAGTTATGTTCTCATAATGCAGAAGGAGAACATTTTTCTTATTTGTTCTGGCAGGAAATATATTAAGGGCTTTTTTATCTTCAATAAGAACATGTTTATTTTCTTAGCTTGGTCGATGTTTTGTGAGTCTCTAGTCCACCTTCACTTTCAAAGGGGGAAACTTCGTGGTCCAGTCAGGAACTTGCTTGCAGTTTCTAAGGCAGACGATTATAGCTGCATCCCACTAGTACGACCCCAAACATTTTGTCAGCCGTGATAATTACAAAATGTACCACAAAAGATGACTTGCATGAAAGTGCTTCCTATTTTGTATGGTTTGTATTTAAATGAATGCGTTTCTAGCGAGGCAAAGTAAAGAGTTCACCTTCTCCCATCGCTCCTGAAGACAGTCACCTCTCCTGAAGACGGTTAGAGCATACTGACCGGAACGTCGAGTTTATACCTCTGGTTCTTTTCAGAACCATTCTCATAGTTGAGAAATTATTCGCACATGGTGTTTCCGCAAACCTTTAATTATTCTCCCACCGCATTTTCATTTCCTCCCGGGGTGGTGAAAGTGTGAGGATCATCATAACTCGATTCACCCGAATACGTTTATGATGGCACTGCAACCTTTTGCAATTTTCTACTTTGAGATTTCTCTTTCACTTTTACACAGCCGAACCATTTACAATCATCATGCCTTGTGACTTGAGCGGCAAGTGGGTGTATGCCAGTGGCGAGGGTATGGGTGCCCTGTTTGACAAACTAAACATCCCAGCTGACAAGCGTCCTTCAGACCCCTCCTCTACCGTAGAGATTACACAGAGTGGAGACAACTTCTGCATCACGACAACCACCCCGGATGGAAAGAGTCGCGAGGCAAAATTTACCATCGGTAGGCTCATGTTTCACCTGTATTGCAATTAGCCCATGCGCGGTTCTACGGGGGGGGGGGGGGGGGCTAGGGGGGCTGTAGCCCCCCAAAAATTTTGTCTAGCCCCCCAAAAAATAAATTCCGTAAAAAAAAATTGCATTAGCATAAAGAAGGATTGTGATGTACATGCGAACGGTCTCCCCCTAAAGAAGAAATAGCCGTGAAAAGGGTGCATTAGTTAATATAGTGTGAATGAATTTTGGATTTTATAGGCGCTCCCCATTGAAAATATGGCATGAACCCAAGGGCGGATCCAGGGGAGGGGGAGGGGGCCAAAGGAGGCCATGGCTCCCCCAAAAACAAACGAAACCAATTTTTTTTTTTATGTAACATCGCAATAAAGGCAGGCAATGAGTACACCTCAGTCTTTTCCTCCAAAAAACATTGGTTAAAGTGGTCAGAAATTGCCTCAGATCGCACCACAGAACATCTAGAATCCGAAATTTTTTCGGGGCCCTTAAGCGGGCCCCGAACCCCACGCCGTATTTTTTTGACCCACTTTTTTGGGGGGACCAAAAGTTTTTTTGTGTTCTGGATCCGCCCTTGCATGAACCCCCCCCCCCCCCCTCCCCACCTATTGATTTTCGGAGGCCTAAGTGTCTGGAAAAAATAACCGGTCAACATTTCAGCACGCCTACCTGAAAAAAATTCTGGATCCACCGTGCTAGCCCCCCAAAAATATTGGTTCTAGAACCGCGCCTGAATTAGCCGTCTTGAATCATTATACCTTCTAAACGTGCATCATGGTCTGTCCATTTGAAATTGACTTGGTAATTGTTACGCTTTAAAATAAGGGCGTGGGCAATGATTTTATCACTGTCACTGACGATCAAAATCTATGAAATTCATTTCCATCTCACAAGACCCCAGCATTACAATATAAGTAGGCCTACTTATGTTTTTTTTTTTATTTATTGGTCCAAAAGTTTTTCTTTCACTACGAATCAGGTCTTTTTAAAGTTTTTAAAGTAGCATTTGTGGTAAAGATGGGAATAAGGGTAATTTTTTGCATTACTATTTTTGTTTATTAACTACAGGTGTTGAGTTTGTGGATGAGGAGATCAAGGTTTTGCGAGGGAAGGAGATCAAAGCCACGCCCTGCTGGGAGGCGGAAAAGTTGGTTCTGAAAGGATCAGGAGGCAATGGCTCTGTGTCACGTGAACTCCTTGGAGGTCAACTTGTCCTGACCTTTGACGTCATGGGAATCAAGGCAACACGTGTCTTCAACAAGGCCTAAGCGCCGAATTGAATTCAGCATCAACCTTGTTCTGGTTTCCTGGTTGATAATTCGGATTTAATGTATTGGTTGTTAACTTATTAAAAAAAAATTAAGATAATTGTAAAAAATACAAGAATCAAATGACAAAATGTTTGTAGAAAAACACCAAAATTTAGATCCTTTGCTTTAGTGCAATAACATATCAATGACAGATACAATGAATCTGGACCATCGGCTTCAATGAATAAAACAACATGCATTTTGCACCATCGTCTAAAAGGTTTACAGATGTGTTGTGATGTGTTTATGAACATAGTATTTGAGGATTCTAAAGTGCCTCATTGCCCAACTATACAACTGCCATTTTTTTCTTCTCCATTTTAGGCCATTCCCAGTTCTACTTAATATTAACTGTAATACCGGGGTTTCTCTCCACTTATTCAGCTGACATGATATCCGTTGAAGAGGATAAACTGTTGCTTGTCTGGTTCACGTTGTCAATGAAAGCATTTGATATTTTATGGTGGTCTTCGCTTTACCCCAAAAACGTTCTGGTAATAATTTCAGTCGACGTTCCTTTCCATTTTAAGCCCAGTCTTATTGAAATTAAGTGGCAACGTGGACTCTTCATGATTCCCTTGATTTAAGAAAACAGAGGGCGCTGTTAAATTTTGACAAAATTCTTCGCCTTGAAATTCTGAAATTTGGTTTGTCCACTTTTGGACCGCCTGTGTACAAGAAAATAAAAAAATCCAAATTTAATCCTCCATAAGCCGAGACTACAGTAGAAACGGTAGACGATAATTATATTCCTTTAAAAGGTTTGTTCTGGGAAAAATAATGGTTTTGTTACATTTCTTTGAAAAGAATCAGTTACATTTTAGTCAAGATCGGGGAACCACCTGTTTGATTAATTGAAACAAGCGGGAAGGGGCGTCTGACTGAAGGGGCGCTGTTCAAACATTTACAATGTATATAAGCCCATTTTAATCTTCGCGATTGTACTATTAAATTTACGTGAACTCAGGCGCGGTTCTAGAGCCTATATTTTGGGGCAGGCGAGGTTCAGCGGGAGCGGGGGAGGGTTTTGGCCCCCAAACTGTTGTTCAGCACTCCCCGTTTAAAATACGAGCCCCCCCCCCCCGCTTCCCTGCAAAAATGTCTGGATCCACCCCTGCTAGCCCCCTATAAGCTCTAGAACAGCGCCTGTTTTGGGGGCTAGCATGGTGGATCCAGACCTTTTGCAGGGAGCTGCAGGGAGGCGTGCTTAAATGTAGACCAGTTGTTTTTTTCCGGACACTTAGGCCTCCGAAAATCAATAGTGAGGTGGTGGTGGTAGTGGTACGTGCGTGTGTGTGTGTGTGTGGGGGGGGGGGGGGTTCCGTTATTGGGTGGGGGGGGGGGGCTAGACAAAATTGAAGATGTGGCAAGGAGAATGGGGCGGGGCTAAATCCCCTTAGTGCAACCCCCCCCCTTCCCGTATAACCGCGCCTGCGTGAACTTAGAGGTTTAAGCTCAATGTGCCTCTCGTGCCTCTCTTAGTAAAAGAGACACATTCAAGTCACTTTGAATTGGAGAGGATAAATGAAGAAAACACATTCCAACAATTGATCATGATATTATGTCATAAAAAATTGTAACAAATTGACGGGAACCGTGGGAAAAAAAACATTGCAACAATTAAAACTAAAGTATATTACCGCTATAAAATCCAATCGTCACTGCAGACCCTGACATGCCCAATTAAAGTCATAACCATGAGCTCGAAATAGAAGAAAAACAAGTCACAGTCATAATCACAAAATGTTAACCTAAAACGTTTTTTGATGTCACTGAGTTATTGACAAACGAATTGCAAGAAGGAACTTACGGTGTGTTCAACAGGTTCGCCCTTTAGTAAAGGAAGTCGTATTCAACAGGACGAGGGTGGCACTGCAATAGCTGTGAACTAAAGGCACCCAGCGCTGCTGTTACTGTTTTCAAGCGGATGACTGGTTCAAAATATGGAGCGTATTTCTATGGATCCTAGCACAAAGCACCCACTAGAGCATCACAATACAAATTCCTACCATTCACTGTCCATGGCTATAACTGACCTTAGACGTTTTGAAGTCTGGAAATGATTATTTTCTGGACTGTGACTTCCTTAAAGCTTTGAGAAATTTGGTTTGTTTGGGTTGAGTGTCAAAATAATATCTAGCGTAATAAATTGTGTTGTTCCATGAATTTTTTTTGGCGGGAGAGGATGGAACTGCTTTAGCTTCTTAAAAACTTCCCAACGGGTAACCTTTTGGCTGAAATACAGTACTTTGTTAAGATTTCGTTGCGAGGACAGTCACTCTCCCAAGCCCAATTTTCCCTGATAATTTACTTAGTCTCCCCATCAGAACTGTAAATGTAATTACACTCAACCAAAAAAGAAAGTCCCCACCTTCCAATACTGTTTTAACTCAACAACCACTGAGCACCTCTCGCTCAAGTAACGACTCATCAGTACAGAAATTCCTTATCATTACAGCCATACTCTTTCTTATGCCCAAAAACAGTGATAATTTGTACGAATTTATACAATTTAGGACAAATGATACCGAAAACAGTTGCATTTTTGTATACGTGCAAGTTGTGGTTCACACTAACCTCGCACGTATACAAAAGTGCAATTGTTTTTTCGGGGTACCATTTGTCATCAATTGCATAATTTGCATAAACAAAGAGAATGGCTGGATGATACTCTGATTATGCAATGTTTACGTAAATATTCATTATTGTGCTTGGAAATGGAAAGTACATGTTTGGTGATAATTATTGTTAAAGAGTTATGAGAGGAAAATGTGTATCAGTTGATGAAGAATACTCAGTCTGCGCAACAATTGATGTTATTGTGACGAAAGATGACAAGCTATTGTACATTTCAAAATGTTCAATAAATTGTGCAATATAGCGCAGTATTAAAAAGACGGATGTTGTTGAGTTATAAGCCTTAAGAGGGTAAGAATAGTTAGGGACTTGCTGATGAAAGTGGGAGTTGAACTTGAAATAGGTAACGAATATTTACAATGTCACCGAGCATGCGCAGTTGTAGAATCAAAGCTAGTGTTAGTTGTAAAAAATGGCAAATAGTGATTTGGGAACATGAAAAAAGGGGCATATATATTTGAACTTGACCCGGGGGGGGGGGGTGGGTGGGTCGAATGAGGAGGGGCCATTACGCAATGTAGGGAAGTAACATGACCTAGGGCTTCTAGGGCTTCTAGGGCTTCTAGGGCTTCTAGGGCTTCTAGGGCTTCTAGGGCTTCTAGGGCTTCTAGGGCTTCTAGGGCTTCTAGGGCTTCTAGGGCTTCTAGGGCTTCTAGGGCTTCTAGGGCTTCTAGGGCTTCTAGGGCTTCTAGGGCTTCTAGGGCTTCTAGGGCTTCTAGGGCTTCTAGGGCTTCTAGGGCTTCTAGGGCTTCTAGGGCTTCTAGGGCTTCTAGGGCTTCTAGGGCTTCTAGGGCTTCTAGGGCTTCTAGGGCTTCTAAGGGTTAGGGTTAGGGTTAGGGTTAGGGTTAGGGGTTAGGGTTAGGGTTAGGGGTTAGGGTTAGGGTTAGGGTTAGGGGTTAGGGTTAGGGTTAGGGTTAGGGTTAGGGTTAGGGTTAGGGGTTAGGGTTAGGTTAGGGTTAGGGTTAGGGTTAGGGTTAGGGTTAGGGTTAGGGGTTAGGGTTAGGGTTAGGGTTAGGGTTAGAGTTAAGGGATCTTCTGTAGGCCGACCTCGGAGTATAAGGTCGGTGACCCCTGAGGTCAAATGTCATGACCCCCCGCAACTGTTGGTGGGGTCACAAGGTTATGCTCCCTAGGGTCAAAGGTCACGGGGTCAAAGGTTACTGCACAAAGTATAGGAAAAAAACTTTGAGAGGTCATAACCTTTGACCCCTGGGGAGCATAACATTGTGACTAAGTCAAAATCTTTCGGGGGAGGTCATGACCTCTGACCCCAAAGGTCAAGGTCATAGGTCATAGGGGCCAGGAGTTATGGCCAAAAGTTGTCTATTTCCGACACCCCAAAATAAAGAAAAACATAAGAAATTCTAAAATGGTCTGAAACGTGTAAAAAACATATAAGTCAATATGGGTCAAATATAAGGGAATGGGTTAGTACTTAGTCGTTTTTTCAAGTGTGTGTATGCGTTAACGCATAGGGCAAGGGCTTGTGCACAAACCCTATGGCAATTCGACTTTGTACACATATCAATGGAAGTACTTGATGCACGCCAGTATTTGGGATGTATTAGAGCATTAGGGACGAGTTGGCACCCTGGTCCCGAGTTATTCGTTTTGGGCGGTCTGCAGGACCGTACCTAGGCACGGATACCCAGTTTTTGACCCTATTTGACCCTATGATAGTGTTATTGGACCGTGAAAAGACTACCCTAACCCCTTTAACCCTGATTCGACCGTATTGACCCTATTCGAGACGGTTTAACATTATTTCGGGCGATTTTACCCTACATCACAGTGTATAACCCTACCCCTATAGCTAATCCCTCTATTTCCGACACCCTAGCCCTACCCCTTTGTAATATCCGTCTATTTGCGACAGCTAGCCCCATCCCCATGCCAAATCCCTCTATTTCCTACACCCTAGCCCTACCCCTATGTAATATCCGTCTATTTCCGACAGCTAGCCCTATACCTATGCCAAATCCCTCTATTTCCGACATCCTAGCCCTAACTCTATGGAATATCCGTCTATTTCCGACACCCAAAATAAAGAAAAACATAAGAAATTCAAAAATATCAGGAAAAACATCAGATATTCAAAAATATCAGGAAAAACATAAGAAATTCATAAAACAAAGAAAAACTAACCCAAACCCTAATAACAAAGAAAAACATAAGAACCCTAAGAACAAAGAAAAACATTAGAAATAGGGTTTGATGTAGGTTTAGGGATAAGGTTTAGGTTAGGGTTAGGGTTAGGGGTTAGGGGTTAGGGTTAGGGTTAGGGTTAGGGTTAGGGTTAGGGTTAGGGTTAGAGTTAAGGGTTAGGGTTAGGGTTAGGGTTAGGGTTAGGGGTTAGGGTTAGGGTTAGGGTTAGGGTTAGGGTTAGGGGTTAGGTTAGGGTTAGGGTTAGGGTTAGGGTTAGGGTTAGGGTTAGGGTTAGGGGTTAGGGTTAGGGTTAGGGTTAGGGTTAGAGTTAAGGGATCTTCTGTAGGCCGACCTCGGAGTATAAGGTCGGTGACCCCTGAGGTCAAATGTCATGACCCCCCGCAACTGTTGGTGGGGTCACAAGGTTATGCTCCCTAGTGGTCAAAGGTCACGGGGTCAAAGGTTACTGCACAAAGTATAGGAAAAAAACTTTGAGAGGTCATAACCTTTGACCCCTGGGGAGCATAACATTGTGACTAAGTCAAAATCTTTCGGGGGAGGTCATGACCTCTGACCCCAAAGGTCAAGGTCATAGGTCATAGGGGCCAGGAGTTATGGCCAAAAGTTGTCTATTTCCGACACCCCAAAATAAAGAAAAACATAAGAAATTCTAAAA